TAAAATCTTTGTTAATAAAGTTGATAAAATATATATTAAATTATATTTTTTATATAGTAATAATATTACTAAAATTATATTTAATATTTTATAAAGAAATTAACAATTATCTTTAATTTCGCAGGCAAATTTACCTGCTAGACAATCTAAGGGATAAGAAAATGGATAATTAAAAATCTGAATAAGAGGCTAAAAAACAGATAATTAATGAAATGAATGAAAAGTTTTTAGAAAATAAAATAAAATAAAAGTTGAAAATGTAATATGAATATACAAAATAATTATACAAATCACATAATATTAAAAATGATAAACTAAATCACATGAAAGATTGTATAATATAAAGATAATACATAATGTCATAATAGTAACATATGATATCATAATAAAATATTATAAGAAGAAATTATAGAAAAAAGAAAAGAAATAGAAGAAGTAAAATAATTGCTAATAAAATTAAATAAAATATTTTAGAAACAACAAGAAAGTGAAATAAAAATAAGAAATTATTATATAAATAATATATATGTCATATGCAGATCATATAAGAAGTTTACTAATAAAATAAGGTTTTGAGAATTTTTTAACTAAAATTTCATACTTATTTGATTTTATACTAATATACTTAAAAAATTTTATAAAAAATCTCTCAAAATCCTATTTTATTAACAAATTTTCTATATATCAAATAGATTTAAAAATCTTATTTATACTAAGTAATAGAAACAGTTAGAATATTTAAAGTATATTTGATCATCAGTAATACAAATAATAATAAAATAATTAGTACACATTTGTCGAATAATAACAAATAGGAAACTAACTAAGTCAAATCTAGATTGTCAGATTTGATCTAATTAGTTTCCTATTTTTTTTTAAAAATAAGGTGATCCTGATTAATGATAAATAATAGCATAAATAAGGAATATTAGGATTTCAATTAAGATATTATAAAGGTATCAATAGGATTATTTTTATTAATATCAATTTATTGACATATAGCTTTCAATCAGATTATCCCTAAGAAATCAATAAAAATATTCTTATTTTTTTTAATTAATAGTGCGTAAAGTAAAGTGTATCATAATAGGGAGTTCAAGTCACCTCTTGAAATGTGAAGCAATTAACTCATGTAGTATCTTTATTGGTCTTAACATTCATCTGCATTAAGACATTAGACAAGGTAATTATTTGCTTATACTATCCTAATAATGATATCTGTGATTAAGGTTCTCGCTAATATTGATTTTATATCAAGGAGCACAAGATACTAGCTTGACTAGATTCATATCAAATATGAACAGAGGGATTATTTTGATCATATAGAAGTGTTATCACCTATAGATTACTCAACTAATGTCATAGGGTTCATAAGATTATTACCATAAGATTTGCCTAAGTGGGTAATCATTATATCTATTTCGTCAAACAATCTAGAAATTGGATCTGATCTCTGACCCTAGTGATATATTGATTAGTTGATACTGTAGTATGCAATGCAGTTTATTATTACCAATGATCTAATCTACTAAATTCTGGTTAATCACTTTCTTAATTTATATACACTTGAATATGAATACAATGAATACGAGTTAAATATAATCAGATCAGATTGAACAATAATCAGGTCAAGTCAAATTCAGGTCCTGTAAATATTAACAGACTTGAGCTCAAGTTTACTTTAAACTAATCCAACCTAACCTTTACAATACACTAAACAGGAAGGTTATGTTAAGTTAGATTATGAAAAAATAAACAGTTAATTTAATTGAAGGGTCAGGTCATCTTCATTAATACAGATTTAAAAAGAATAAATTGTTTAATGAGTAAAAATTAAGTTTTAAATGAAAAACTACTAAATTAGTTGAATTTTTTTTTATATTCAGAACATCATAACAGAATAAATATTTATCAATATATCAAGGAGAAAATGTAATAAAAATTGACATTTTTATTAATAACTAATTTAATAAAAAATTAATATTCTTGTATAGATATAGTTTTAAATATCTCTAACTGTAATTATAATTAGGATGATTTAAAATTTCTTCTGTAAATAATGCAAAATCATTAAATATACCTTTATTAAAAATGTATCTAAATAGCATAAGAAAAATAGTTATTTATACTTAGCAATCATTTATATTGAGCTCATTCTTTTCAATTAAATATAAAAATGATAGTAAGTTAAATATATTATTTAAATATTAATGTATAAATTAGGTATGTCGTTATGCTATATACTGTAACTATTATAATTATTTTAAACAATGCATCCAGGTAAATTTTGTTGTTCCCCATTAATGAATCCAGTTTGTTTACTTATATTTCTATTTTATCTATAAAATAAACATCCCAAAATTATAAGGCGCTAACAGTTTTTCCAATTGATGCGATTATAGTTTTCATTGTTACCAAATTACTATTAGAATTATTTGCAACAATATTATTAATGTAGTTGGCGATGAATTTGAATTTGTTGTTAGTGGGTTAGAATTTGTTGTTATATTTGCAATTGCGGGACTAGACATATTTAATTTTAAATATTTGGACAAGGTTTTGGACATATGAAATTGTATCCAAATCCTGTCCAAAAACTGTTCAAAATTATCCAAGGATTATAATTTGAAAGATTATACAGATTTGCAAAATCGTACCATACTTAGAGATGGTCAGTCGGTCCTGCGGTCTTTGAACGGTCTTGATCGGTCTTTAGGATTTTTCGGAAAAGTAATAAGTCTGTGCTCCCAACTTTTTGTAGCAGAACTAAATAAAGACTGTAAAGTGGTAAAGTTTGGTCTCAATCTAATCACCCAATTTAGAGCTAGGTAGGTTTTTATTTCACCAAAACCAGTATTTTTTGATTTTTCGGTCTTTTAACAATTTCGCTTCTGCATGTCTTAAAAAAAAGAAGTATAAAGGCCAAATTTTGACATTTATTGGTCTTTAGCCATACTTGTTGCGCCTCAAAATTTCAAGGGTGCATTCCTTATAACTTTTCCAAAGACCGTTCAGGACCAAAAGACTGACTTACTATCTTTAACCATACTCGGTTAGTTGTAATCGAACGACCTTAACTGACACTAATCAATGGTGTTGTGACAAATGACGAGTGAGTGACAAATATCATTTGAAAAATAACTAAGTTCACAAATAACAGTAAAAAATGAAACATAGGGGGGTGATGACCACGTGCCTAAGCTTTATTTCCAAAGTTTATAAGTAATTTCAACCCCCGATCTTTTTAATAAATTAAGCCATCACGTGACAGAACTTTAAAAAAATATATTTTATTCATTTGGTCTAGGAAAAATTTACCACATACTTTCATGTTGTAAATTTTTTCGTTCTTCATTATTTCTTCGAAATTCTAAAATTAGCAGCTAATAATAAATACCTCTGAACAGATAAAATCATATTAGAACAAATTTACTGACGAATTCTTGAAGATTGGCGCAATATCAAAACAGAGCTTACAAATTTCGCTTTGTAATTGCATAATTCGGAATTCTGGCTATTATTTTATATAGTGAATCTATACCAATTGATAAGAAACTTCTATATCCTTAATATGCAATAACTACATATTGACTATACGATAACCATGGTTTCTGTAAATGTTTTTTTTTCTTCAATATTTTGACAAAAACATCACCCCTTTTTGTTGAATGATATGACAATCTAACCATTATCATGTCACATATCTTGCCTCAAAGGATTAATATAAATAATTTCATTGTTTATCAAATTTAAATTATCGTTGTTGGTAACGCAGTGTAACATTTACGTTAATTTGTGATTTTCCTTATAAAGGATTATAATTAATGATCATTTTTAAACGTTGACTATAAATTATTTATCTAAACCAATTTTTTTTATTTTAATTTTAATTAATAAATTAATAGAATTCATGGCGTGTAAAAAATATAAATTACTTAACCTTTTCATTTTCATATTAAGCTATTTATTCTTTAAAGTAGGGTCATTTACTCCTGAGGGACGTTTATCTCATTATTCTGTCCTTGTTGGGAATAAACTGTATTTTTTTGGCGGATATGTTGATAATGCTAAATCATGTACAAATCAAGTATTTTATCTCGACTTATCTCAGTCATTTAATTTAGCTGTTCCACCTTGGGTTTCCCTTACGCAAAATGCCGGAATACCATTCAAAAGTTGCTGGGGAACTGCTTTATTGAATGACAAGGAACAAAGTATTTATTTATTTGGTGGAATTATGATTAATGATCTAAATCAAGACGATTTTATTTCAAATGTTCATTCATTTAATTTAAATTCCTTATCATGGAGTGTACCAAATATCGAAGGAACTCCACCCGAAAGACGCACAAATATACATGGTGTTATTGATAATACCGGAAAAATTTATATTTTTGGTGGATCTTCGTTAGGTTCACAAACAATTATACGTTACAATGATATGGTCATCCTAAATACAGCTGAATTATCATGGGTTATCAATCCAGCTAGTAAACCTGCGCAAAATTCTTATACCGCAACACTATTAACTAATGGAGTTATTGTATATATTGGTGGTATTGGATCACTTGAAGGCATTGCAACAATAGTTGACATTAAAAACATTAACCTTTTTGATACAAAGTCCTTAACTTGGTCAGTGAAAGTATGTATAAATACTATAATATTTAATAATTAGAATTTAAAATTGATGGTATAAAATCATTTTATATAGATTGCAACAGCTTCAAATATCATTCAAAATCGTTATCTTCATACGGCGGTTTTAGGTATACAAATATTATTTAAATATTATGTTAATATATTTATTTACTCGCTCTTCTTTATTAAAATAGCCTCGGAAGATAAGATAATTATTTATGGGGGTTCTACATTCGTTAAAGGTATTGCTGCTAGAAATTTACAGGCTGTTCCAGATTTGCTTGTTTTAAATATGGAAGCAGAACAATTTGAGTTGACAGTGCCTCAAGTTAATTTGAATGTTGGTCAGGTTCCATCACTTACTGCTCATACAGCTGATCTGGTTGGAAATTATATGATTGTTGCTTTTGGTAATTAAATAAGCAAATCATCATTTACATTCCTTATTTAAATATTTTAAAACTTATTAATTTATTTCGATAGGAAATATCACACAACCAAATGCCAGTCCATTGCTATTCAGAAATCCTAATATTTACATAATGGATATTAGAAACTATACGTGGGTTAATTCATTTGAAGTAACAAGTACAAATATAACTGGATCATCAAAAACGCAATCATCGCCAACTAGTTCCATAATAGTTGTTACAAATAATTCTAATAATGCTAATAATGAATTAGTTACTATGAAAATTATAATCGCATCAATTGGAGGTACTGTAGGTTCGGTTATAATTATAGCATGTGGATTTTTATTTTATAGATGGAATAGAAATAGGAATGAACAACCTGAATTCATTAATGGAGAACAACATAATTTGCCTGGAAGTATTGTTGAGAATAATTATAATAGATATATAGCGTAACGACATTCCTAATAATACATGAATTTTAATTTTTAAATTTTGCAATGAATAATGTATTATTTAATTAATACATTTCTCGATTAAATTGATTAAATACTTAATATTTTTGATATTATAGGATAATAACAAATATTTTATTTCGAATTTTCATTTATTTTCTATCAAAATATTTTGCTATGCATTCTAATAAATTAAATTATTTGAATTACTATTATTATTATATTTAATTGAAAAGAATGAGCTTATAATAATCGCTAAGTGACATAATTTAAAATAACTATTTTTCATATACTCATAAAGTCATAAAGTGTTTAAAAAATTTTAAACTATGATAATATAAGAAGATTAATGTTTCTTATAGTAAATTTGCTATTAATAAATATGTCAATATATTAAACTGATTTAGTAGAGTTTATATATATGGAAGGTTTGCTAAGAAAATGGGATTCTGAATATTTTTTTGACTAAAATTCCATACAATTGCATTTTATTCTAACATACTCAAAAATCAAAATGCAATAAATATAAAATCTTATTAAAAAATTCTCATAACCTATTTTCCTAACAAACCACCCAAATTTATTTATAATATTCTATAGAATATATTAAACTCATTAAATCTTAAATCATATAAACAATATCTTAAAGCTCTTAATACTAATCAAATTCAAAAAAATCAAATATATGATATATCATTTATTATCAACTATCAATTAATCAAATATAATTATTTATTAGCCAAAAATCAATATAAATTAAACTATCTTTTCCATAGTTTATTAGGGTTAAGTCAAAAATTATCAACTCAAATAGGTTTAATCAAATAATGCAAAAATCATTTACTTGAAAAATTTGTAAAAAAAAAAAAATAATAAAAAATAAAGTAATTCTTAAGAAATAATACAAAATTTTTTCTAAGAAATAATGCAATATCTTTAAGAGATATCATACATGAATTATCTTAAAAGATGATAAAATTATCATTTTAAAGAATGATATATTATATTTGATTTTTTTCATGTTTTGCGTACATGCTCCGCACCCTTGGTGCTCTGCAACCTCTGTATACATATCTTGTGTACATATGTTCTGCATCTTCTATGCTTCGCAACCTGTTGCATCTTCGATGCTCCTCAAACCGTGAACATATCTTGTGTACATATCTTGTATACATATGCTCTGCTTTGCTCTGCAGACTTGGCATTCATATTTGCTTTATGATTTGCATACTATTTGCCTACTTATTACCACACATATTTGCCTCATATATAGCATACATTAAAATATGGTAGCATATGATCGAAATGATATAGCATCCATATTCGCTTTACCCTAAAAGGCTCGATCATATTCCTGCTATATCATTTCTCCTATCAAATGCATATTCGCTAGCATCGCCCTAAATGACTTTGTCAGCTCATACTTATTCTCCTATATCAAACGTGCATTTATCATCGCTCCGCTTCTCCTCATGCTTGTTCTCTCTTGCTATCTAAACAGTATGCTATTAGAAGGCAATTTGATTATAATGTATGTGAAAAATTTATGGGTAAGACTTGATAAAAGGTGTGACTTGAAGGTGTGATTTTGAGGTAAAACTTAGAGGTGAGACTTGGCATATATATCTTAGAGGTGTGATTTAGAGGTGAGACTTAGAATATGGTATGCATTTTAGGCTTGCATGATCGGGCCCAGCTCAAATCGCATCACTTTGTTCCTTGATTTTCGCTGGGCCCTCTAGAGGAAAGTAGAATAGCATAAAAGTTATTATTCATGTTGGGTTTGCAATGTTGGGCCCAACTCAAATCGTGTTACTTTGTTCCTTGATTTTTACTAGGCAATTCTGAGGCAAACAGAATAGTAAAAATTTTTTGATATATTATTTAGGATTAAAATCAGGCTAGAATGGTTATATCAAACAGTATAATTCTTGATATCAGACAGGCAAATTCCTAGCCAAGTTCGATAACATCATTTAGAATTGAGTTAAAAGGCGCTAGAAGTTTGAATAAATAGAAATGAAATATATAGCAAACTGGACTTGTCGGCGGTTTTGAGTACTAAGAGAGCATTCATCGAAATCTGTCCCAGATCTCTCAAAATGCCCTATATTTTAATATTTTTGAGTTTGATAAGTTTTAACATAGCTTGTATCTTCTTGATCATTTCTGCTACTCGTCATCAAAAAGATTTGTTTTACAAATTAATATTTAATTGCTAAGAATCCTTTTCTACAATTTGTGATAATTTGTCTTATAATTTCTTTACAATATTATTGTTGATTAAATATTCTTTAATTATTCTCTTTTGTTACATAACTTGTAGCTTAAAATTTTAAAATTTTTTTCAAAATTTTTAAAATGACTTTCTTTTAAATCTAAAACTTAATTAACTTATTTAACTTTTAAAAAACCTATTAAAAGTTTAGATAAGATATTTATTATAAAGAAATAGTTTAATCTTAAATATCTTAAAACTCAAATTTCTTAAAAATGGTTTAAAAAAGAATCTTTACTAATAACTATTTTACTAATTTTACTAATTTCTTAATAAGGTTATATTACTTTAATACTTATGTAAATAACTTATTATTAAATTTATTTATAAAATTTAGTAATTTGTTTTACTTAAAATTAATTTAAATTTAATTTAAATCAACTTAAATAATTAGAATTAATAATAATAATTTAAATTTAATAATTTTATAATATCTAATTATTTATTTATATAATTATTAAAATATTACTTAAAAAAAATAAAAAAAAAATGTTTACAATATATATTTTATTTAGAAAAGTTAAATTTGATTTTTTTAAAAAAAATTTATACTAAAAATAATAATTGATATAAGATATATTTCTTAAAAATAAAGAAAAATAAAAAAAAGGTTTAAAAGTCTATATAAAAGTGATTGATTTACCTTATTGAATGACTAAAAAATATAATGAAAAAAGTTAAAAATTTATCTTAAAGTTACTTTATATAAGATATATTTCTAAAAAAAAAATAAAAATAAAAATAAAAAAATTAAAATATTTATATAAATGATTAATTTACTTTAAATATATAATTAAAGAAAAATAAAAATAAAAAAAAATAAAAAATTTATCTTTAATTTAATTTTAATAATTATTTTAGTTTTAAAATTAGAATTTTCAAAATTCATCCAACTAAAAATAAATAGATAAATATAAAAAAAAATATTTTACATTAAATTATAACTTATAAACTTTAATTGGTTAAAATTTTATATTACATTAGCTTATTTTCAAAAAAAAAATTATAATATTGAAAGTTATTACTTAGTAAATCTAGAAATAGATTTTTGGAAATAATAAACATGTTTAATGTACCATTTAGAAAATGATCAACAAATTACATTTTAAAAAGTATTTAGCTAATAATTTATATCATATGGGAACGTTTCCAGTAAAATCAAGTTATGAGACATAGTAAATCATATGATTTGTAATGTGATTTTACTGAAAACGCCCCCATATGATATATATGCTATAACCTAAAAATAGATCGCCTTAAATTTAAAGCTAGTTTTTTGTTTATTTTGATTTTTTGATTTATTCAAAAAAATTTTTTAGTCTCAGAGTCCCATTTTCCTAACAAACCTCTCATATGTTAAAATTGGTTTAAAATAGTATTAATAATTTGAAATATTATAATTAATTTTAAATTTATGAAATAATTTATATATTAAATTTAATTTTAAAATATTATTTTTTAAATATTGAAATTTATTTTGCAATTAAATAAAAAATAATATTAATATATTGCTAAAAAATAAAAAATATAATAATTATAATTATAAAAAAAAAATTAATTAGTTTATTTAAAAAATTTAAAAATAAAATTATAAATAACTTTAAACAATATTAAAACCAATTACGAAATTAATATTAAATATTAAATTTGATATTTATTTTAAGTTTTTTTAAATTTATTTATTAGATATAATTCATCATCATTTTAAATAAATGTTTTAAATTAGAATAATTTTTATTATTCTTATTAAATAATTATTTTATTATTTTTTATAATTGATAATTTAATTATTTTTTGGATGATGATTTAATATTAAAAATAATGATAATTAACCATTCTTTTGAGATGATAATTTAATTGTTCAATAAGAGTGATAATAATTTGATTATTTTTATTAAATATAAATGCATACATATTGAGTTCTATGAATATTCCCAGAATATCTTCGGCACTATCCCTCCCTTTTTCTGGCTTTGAATTTATGAGAAACCAGGCGACAAGACGCTCAGTGCATACCATATTCTAAGTCACACCTTTTATCAAGTCTAATTTCTGAGCCTTATCCTGCAATTTATTATAATATTGCATCACATAATATCCTCTAATATATTCAGCACACTGTTCACAAGCTGTAGCAGTAGGCTTACCACATTCAGAGCATGGCCAGCGTTTCCTAGTTTTAAAATGCAGTCGGCATCCCTCATGACGAGTGCAGGCTTTACCACAAGTCTTGCCAGAGTTATGAAGATAGTCGCAAGTATAAGATGTCATCATTTACAATAGGGATGAAAAAATTTAATTAAACAAAATTATCTGCAATATAGAAAAGTAAACGGCAGATATAC